TGTTTGTGTGTTATAATTTAAAAGACATATATAATATACTAATTTAGGAGTGAAATTATTACTAATCATAAACAAATTCAAATTCATATCATCTATCACCAAAATGTTATAACAAAGTATTCAACTATCTTACAATTGAAATCAAACTTTTTTATTAAATTCAAGCTAGTAATTAATGTGGCAATCTGAAGTGGACGAGATAAAACTGACAAGGAGGCTGAGAAATGAAGAAAATGAAGCATTTGGTTCCATGTCAAACCGTCAAAAACCGTTGGATCCATCTTAAATCGTCCAATCAAATGAACCGACCACTATTATAATTGATTTAGTGGTTCTACTGGCCCACCCATTGATCCGATTAGATTCTTATAACAATGATAAATACTTAGGATTGATTTCACAAGTTCATCAATCTAAATAACTGTTTAGGCCTAAAAAATAATTTTGTACCACATCAAGTATTTACAAGGCAGCAGGCACGATGGTGGCGCGACCAGATTGTGGAAGCTTGGAAGAAGGAGGAGAGGGCCTTTACGGAGGTGGCAACGCAGCGGAATGAGCTAATTGCCAGACAACCACCCCCGGCGGGATGGGATTGCTTCAACACGGATGGGTCAGTGGTTTATAACCAGGGAAGCGCCGCTGCGGGAGGAGCTATTCGGAGGGAGGATGGACGCTTGATAAAAGCCTTTACGGCTAACCTGGGTGGAGGATCGATAACGAGAGCTGAGCTCATGGGAATCTATATTGGTTTGAGAGTTACTTGGAATGAGGGAGCGAGGAAGGTGGAGGTTCAGTCAGACTCGAAGGCAGCACTGGAGCTGATCGAGAAGGCAACAGCAGGGAGTCCGCACTACAATGTCGTCGCCCAGATTCATCGACTCATGGGTAGAGAGTGGGAGATCAACCTTAAACATGTGTTTCGGGAGGCGAACATGGTGGCAGATTACCTCGTGTCATTGGGGCACTCCTTCAGCATTGGCGAGCACCTTCTCCCGGTCCTGACGCTGAAACACAACCATCTGCTTTTTCATTATGTTTTGGGTATACAGACCCTCAGACTTGTTCTAAGTTAACGGTTGGAGCGCCATCTCGCTCCTCTTCACTACCAAAAAAAAGTATTTACAAGGCATCTATTGTCTTTATAAGGCCAGATCAATAATAACAACTAATGTTTTTTAATCTGGGTCTTATGGTACTAGATTTTTAAGCGCAAACAACTAAATCTCCAAGAACGCACTAATCTCGTCACGAGATAAGACTAAGTCTAGTAGACCACGTTGGTCGCGAGATCTAGAGGGCCTTCAACTTGAGATCTAAATCTAGACCATGTCGGTCGTGAGATTAGATCTAGACAGCCTTCATCGCTCAATCTAGATCTAGACCACGATGTCCACAAGTTGGCATTGCCACGTGGAGTTTCAAGGAGGATATAAATTGACTAAGTCGAATCTAGACCTCATTGGTCGCGAGATTAGATTTAGATGGTCTTTCGTCGTGAGATCAAAATCTATCACTTTGGTCGTTAAATCTAGAAGGCCTTCGTCGCGAGATTTACACAACCTTCGCTGTGAGATCTAGATCTAGTCCAAACTGCCAAGTCTTTAAGAGGGCACTAGTTTCATCGTGAGGAAGCTAAGTCTGCTAGACCATGTTGGTCGCGAGATCTAGACGGCCTTCGTCGTGAATTATTGTCGTACTTTTTCTCTTATATACTGTGATAATACGTTTGAATGTTAGCATATTGGTTGGAGTTATAAAGAGAAATTATTACCCATGGATAACCGTGGATATCCGAAACCCGAACGGGTATGGGCATGTTTGGATTTTCTACCAGTTTCTTATGTGGGTATGGGTATGGGTAAAACCCGAACTACTTTGGGTAGGGTAACAGATATGCACTATCTGCTCCCGACCTTACCCATTGCCATCCCTACATCACATCACTCCCTGGGGGTGATTCTCAAGGTCTAAGGGTGTGAAATTGCCTCCAGCCCATGAACCGTGCTTAGCCTACACTTTTCGTCTTTCCCTCCATGAATTCCTAATATTATGACAAAAAGCATTTGTCATTATAATTTTTTTTGGTACATAATGTGGCAAACATTAATGTGACGAATATCTTGTCATTTTATACTCTGTTATCGCCTTCCATCCAACGATATTTTGACAAAATGGCAACAAGAAAATAATTTTGTCATAATATCAACTTAATATGACAAAATTTATGTCAAAATAGACAATGAAATTCTGACAAACTTGAAATTTGTCACGATTGATACTATATTATGACAATATAAAAATGACAAAAAAAATACTTTGTCAGAGTAACAAAAAATTGTTGTAGTGTGTTGAACAGCATATGTAATGTCTGGTCTAGTTGTGGTAATATACTGTAACTTCCCAACTAGCCTTCTGTAAAGTGTTGAATCTGGTAGCAAGTTTCCAGCACCAGCAGATAGTCTTGTCTTCATGTCAATGGGAGATAAAGTTAGTTTGCAACTAAGGAACCCATCATCTTTAAGCATGTCTAAGCGATACTTCCTTTGGCAAACCAAAATGCCTTTTGAACTTCTGGCTATCTCAAGTCCTAGGAAGTACTTCAGCAATCCCAAGTCTTTGATCTTAAATTCCTTAGAAAGGAATTGTTTTGCCTAAACTATCATTGTTTCATTATTTCCTGCAATAATGATGTCATCTACATACACTAACAGAATAAGAATAGATTGATCTTGAATCAAGGTGAACATAGAATAGTCTGCTTGGGATTGGACAAAACCATACTTAATCAATGAAGCAGTAAGCTTGGCAAACCACTGCCTGCTTGCCTGCTTTAATACATATAAAGACTTCTTTAACAAACAGACATGCCTGTGTTCTGATTGTTTGATTTCTAATCCAGATGGAATGGCCATATAGACAAGTTCATCTAAATCCCCATGAAGGAAGGCATTGCTTACATCCATTTGATGTAAGTGCCAGTTCTTAACTGCTGCAACAGCAAGCAAAGTCTTTACTGTATTGATTTTTGCCACTGGAGAATAAGTATCCAAGAAATCAATACCTGGTATTTGTGCACCCCACTATTTTCCTGGCTAGAGGAAGGTCAACAATGTCCCAAGTATGATTCTCCTGCATAGCCTTCAGTTCTTCAATGATATCTTGTCTCCACCATTCATACTTCATGGCTTCTTCAAATGATTTTGGCTCCATCAGTTTGAGAACACTAAGGGCATAGGCTTGATAGGATGAGGTAAGGTTTTGATCAGAAATGAAATTTGTTAAACAATGTTGGCTAGTGTTTGTTGGTTGGAGGTTAGGTAAGGTTGTTTTGTAGTTTTGAATGAGATATTCTGGAGGTTTGGAAGCTCTTTCATACCTTCTAAGAACTGGTTCTGGTTGTGGAGGAGGTAGATCTATTTCATTTTCCACTTTTGCTTCATCTAACTCCTCCTCTTCATCATAATTTTGTAATGGTGGTGTCAAAGGTATAAAGGTTGAGGATCCGGATTTGGGAGATTCTGGTTAACTAGAGATGGGATAGGAAGATTTTCTAGTTCTGGGAATGGATCAAAAGAGATAGGTGCAGGGACAATGTTTGTGGGATCATTATCATTATGTGATTGGTCTTTCTTATATGGAAGGATCTGCTCATAGAATTTCACATCCCTGGAAACAAACACTGCATGGCTTGACAAATCTAGCAGCTTGTATCCCTTCATACCTGGGGTAAAACCCAAGAATACACACTGTCTAGCCCTTTTCTCAAACTTCCTCCTTCCCTGTGACAGTGTTCCAACATAACTCAAGAATACTCCCAAAACACTATAATCTAGTGTCTTGCCATATACCTTCCCAAATGGGGCGAGATTCTCCAATAAGGGTGCATGCAACCTATTGATTAGAAACACTGCATGTAAAACACAGTCTCCCCGGAAAGACAAAGGTAATCCTGCTTGAGGTTTTTATAGCCCGTGTCTTCCTCATCAGAATTTCCCTTCGAGGAGACATCACTAGCAGGATTGGACACTGAGCCAGCAAAGTTGTTGTGACCTGCTTCCATCATCTTCTTGTTCTTAGCTTTCAGCTTCCAGCAATCCTCTTTGACATGGTTGTCATTCTTGCAATATCTGCAGAAAAGACCATCCTGAGATGATGTTGTGCCCTTCCTTTGATCCTTTCCCCTACTACCATCAACTGCTAAGGCTATTCCTTCATCTCCTTTGGTCCCAGTACCACGTGGATCTAATTGTCTTTCATGTTGCAGGACATAACTGAATGCAGATCCTATGTTAGGCATAGGCTTCATCATCAACAAATTGGTACGCACTCCCTCATAGTTATCATTCAATCCAGTAATAAACCTCATAACATAATCATCATGTATGAACCCTCTAAGGGTATTGAGAGCCACTGTTGCTGGGCAATCTGCCTGAGGGCAAGCATTACACACAACTGTTCTATACTGGACATATTCTTCCCCATATGTCTTAAGTCTAGTAAAGTACTCATTGATACTAGAACTTCCTTGTTTACAAGTAAAGATCTGAGTCTGGAGATCCACCAACCTAACTGCATCTGCTTGACCATATCTCATTTTCAGATCTTCCCGGATCTGATATGCATTCTCAGTACTAGGCACACTTTCAGCAATAGTTTCATCAAGAGAGTTAAGAAGCCAGCCCAATACCTGAGTGTTGTTAGCACCCCATTCTTCAACGCCAACATCAGTAGGATTAGGCTGTGATTTTGAGCCATCAATGTATCCAAGTCGCTTTCTGGTTTTCAGAGCAATCCTCAAGGATCTGTTCCATAAGTTGTAGTTCTTTCCATTAAACTTGATTGAGACAATGGACTGTGGCACCAACTGATCCGCCGAGTTAGAAGGATTGGAAGAATTGGTTGAAATAGCCACTATAGAGGACTGTGAAGGTTCAGTGCTCATTGTGAAGAAACCCTTGCAGATACTAATTGTGCTCTGATACCATAAGAAAAGGGTTGTGTGAAACCTTTTGTTTCATTAGATTGAATGTAAGATTTACAAGCAGTATATATAGGCTAGACTAGAGAAACCCTACCATTTACAACGATCACTAAACAATGTTTAACAAACTAATGCTAACTAACAATTGAAAGCATCCAATAGGATAGATACAGGTGGCTAAGAACAAGCGGGCTCCTAAAGTGAAGTGGCGACGATGGCGTGCTGAGAAAACAACGTCGGAGTGTGCTTCTTCAAGCAGTAGAGATCAAATTAAGCTAATCTCCGAGACGTGGGTTCGAAACCCAGTCCAAGCTATTTTCCTTCAGAATTCATCCCCAAACCATCCACTTGTGATGCTACTTTGTAATTATGAATCTCTAGATTCCACTTGTCCGAGCAAATATTCTAATGTCGTTTCCTTCTCCAACCCTCCATCTTGTGCATCCTACATCAAATTTTGAACCGACATTAAACTTATCCAAATATAACTTGCGTTATTACCTACTTCCGTGTCCAGTATATCACAATCCATGTGGTATTTTATTTTCAAACACTCGAGCTACTAAAGACTCAGAGCTTGTAAGCAAGTTCCGAACTTGTCCACCGGCTAGTGCTATGCCGAAGCCAAGTAGATCCCTAAAGTCCATGCCACCTTCTTCATTTGCCAAACAAACTTTTCCCCAGCTCATCAATGAATACCCCTTTTCTCATTCTTCTTTCTCCACCAAAATCCAAAAAACAGTTTTTAAACCTCCTGAATTAAATATTAAAGATATTTATAAAAAAGAACCCCGACATTGCATACATTTTTTTGGACATATAATTCATGGGAGAAAAAGTAAACAAAATTAAGAATACAAATCATTCTATCGTAGTTCGCATATATTCTCAAAATTAAATTTATAGGAACATTTCCTAACACAAATTTGATTGTACTTTAAACTCATAGACGATGAGTCACATCAATAAAATAAAAATAAAAAGAATTTCAGGAACACCTGGCTGGCAACAGGTTCTGTTTCTCGAGAATTGACTTGGTCTTCTGGGTCTTCATGCCCGCCCTGAAATTATATATAAACTCCTCCGCCCTCACATCCACCGGCCGGAGCTGCGGCGACCTCGCCACCACTACCCTCCACGCATCTTCCAGCGTCTCCATCGGATTATTCTCCTCCTCATCATCCATAATCACCAACGCATCCTTCCTCCTCCTCTGGATCAAAGACGACGCCGTTCTCACCGCCGCCCCTTCCCTACAACTATTCCTCGGCAGCGGCGGCCTTTTGTTAACATTACGAACCACCACTTCCTTACCCCTCAACGACGTCGCCTCCACCCTATTCGTCGTCGTCGGGATTTTAACCTCAGCAGCGGCGGCGTCGTTATCGTCATCGGGGTAGAGCTGGTCGATGAAGATGGCGGAGAAGCTCTTGCGGAGGAGGTTGCGGTTGCTGCTGCTTCTGTTGGTGTAGTAGTCGGAGATGTAGTTGTGGTGGTTGTGATGGCGATACGACGGCGTATTGGGAACGACCTGGAGGGAGCGGTTGTTGCGGAAGAGATGGGTGGAGCAGTAGGTGAGGATCCGATTCGTGCCTTTCCGGATGACCCGGATGGCTCGCGGGAAGTCGAGGTCGTTGAGCTTCGTTTGGAGCGTGTGGGCCAGACGCCGGAGGGCGCGCTTGGCCGGCTGGAGCTTCCTGCCGAAGTTTCCCGACGAGGAAGAGCGGCGAGGCATTTGAGGAAGGTGGGGAAAGAGGGGAGAAGAAGAAAAGGGAGCAGCCTTCGGTTTTTGAGTTTACGCCACTATATATACTGCGCCTAATAATAAAGCTGTTTCTTTAATTAATCAATAATTCGATTTTAATTATTCCGCACTTTGGTAAGGATTAAGGAGCAACTTAGGAGTATCTTTCGGATCTAGCTGTAATACCATAAAAGTGACCAAATGAAGTATAAGTTTACAATGTTTATCGTATTAAAAAAATATTTATAATATAAACTGAATTTAAAATTTTAATATTATAGTACAAATTTAGTAGTGTATTTGTGGTGAAATTCGAAAATTAGACCCGATGTTTGTAGTCGCATGCCTTTCACTAAATCACCAGAGATGAATACGAGGTTGGGAGGGTTAGAAATGTCTTTGTTGAGCTCTCTCGTTAGTGTCTTAGTGATAGTCACAAAACGCATACCGAGAATTATAACGTAGATTCGCTTCTGAAATAACTGAGTGTGACAAAATAATAATAATAATAATGTTAATAATTTGCCAAGATATTTTCACCCAAGGCAAGTCTTGAAAGAGATTTTTTTTAGATAGGTTTTATCACGAACAGATTTAAAAATTAATGAACGAATATTTATTTGAAATGGTATATTAAGAACGAAATCCAGACATCCAGATGCATGATTGAGTATTATGAAAATTTGATTTACATAAAAATTATATATGGAAAAAATTCCCCATCTAGATCCAACCAATTCGAATTGAAGCTATCACACAGCCCCTGGCTAGCTGGATTAGGGTTACTAATTACTTTGGGGTCCCAGCTTTGAGGGCATGCTTGGGTCCTAAGGCTTTCCTTTTATAAATTCGCAAACTGATGAATTTGAAAGTATAATTTGGGATCGGGGCGGGGATTAGTATTATGAATATGCTAACATCAGAGTGGGTCTCCCATTTCCCCCGCATTATTGTGGCGGGTGAGGAGTTAGTGATTCACCGGTGAAATATATGAATTTTTTGAAGTGCATTATTATTACGGTTTAGGATAATGGTTAGATGGACCCTCTCGGTTGGTACATGCATGTACTTAACTCTAATTATTATTCCCGTATTATTTTCTGTCTCCATTGGATTCGATAATGGAAAAAAGTTCTCTACTACAAATTTGATGTATATATATATACATAATTACTTACACGTTGACACTGTGCACGCATAAAATATGGATAATGGGAATAATTCCACCAACAAAATTAATATTAATAGCGATTAGTGGATGATAATATGATCTATAATAGAAGCTTGCAATGATTGGAAATTTGGAATTGAAGAACTAGAAGAGGAAGGGAAGGATTAACGAAAAAGAAGAAGAATGGGAGGAAGAAAGGAAGAAAAAACTTTCTAATATGTAATTCGATCGATTATCCCTCCCATTATGACAGACCCCTTTTATATGACATACCAATTAAAAAAAGCCTTTAAATTAACACATTCATCTTACAAATGGTATATGGACATGCGCAAATTTCAAAGTCCATATGAGTCTGCTTTAAGAGTATGTGTTAGTAAATCAAATTTCAAAGTCCATATAAGTCTGCTTTAAGAGTATGTGTTAGTAAATTATATATGATATATAATTGAACATCTTCTAACAACTCGAATTATTTGAATAAACTTGTTTTTTATATCAACAAATTTTAGTTTAACACAAACAAGGGGTGAAGTTAGTTATCATAGAAGATTTCAAACATCACATAAGTATACATATAAACCATACATAAAAGATTTCTAACGTCAAAAATATTATAAATAAACTAATTATTAAATATGATAACACAAAACTCATTCAACTAACCAAGTGTGTATAAAGTTACATCAAACTTTAAACTTTTTTATTTCACTGAGAATCAAAATATATGATCATGTCATTCATACTCAGTCGCTTGTCCTGGCGCTACAAATTTACCAACATATCCAACTTTTGTGAAATGAACCAATACATCAAACTCAATATCATCTCATGATTGTTTAGTACATTCATATGAGATTAGCAAGACATTTGAGGTTTAGCATCACCGCTAAAAGAAAAAATTTAATATAAACCGGTCACTTATAGTTTGCACAAAATATTGTTGCTTCGTGATAGTTATAAAAATTGATACTAAGTTAAGAATTTCACATGCCTTCTGCATATTTAATACTATAATTTTATATAAAATATTTGAATCAATAATATTTGGGTTGCGATTTAAATATAATACTCCATTTATAAGATATAGATAAATTAAATTAATTATTGAACTCGAAATAAAATAATAATAATAATAATAAATGAAAATCAAAGTATCAAACACTAAAGAAATACTTAAGGGAGAATTAGTGAGCTAGCTAACCATGTTATAGAAGTCATATGATTTTCAGATTTTTTTTTTATGAATAATGTTTTCCTTTTCATCAAAAAGAGTGCCGACAACAACCTTGTCAGCTAGGTTTTGAGTTGTAGAGTCACTAAGATTCAAAAGAACTGTGTACAAGAATACTACCTTGACTAACTAATAGAACCTCAGGTAAAAAAACAATAGAAGGAAGATCAATGCATTCTTAACCAGAACCATTGAGCAAAATGCTCCCAGCCCATGGCAGCCTTACTTCCGCCTTTACAACCCTCACTAGAGTCTCAACATTCTTCTTTTCAGCATCAAAGACTCTATTACATCTTTCCCTCCATAAATGGCTCATTAAAGACTGCCAGATGAGCCGACGTACAGCAGCCTCGTCACCTTTCTTACCAAAGCATTGGGTCGCCCACCGAATCCCAACTTCCCAATCCCTTGGCATGAAAGTAGTAAACTGTCCAAACAGCTGCATAAAAGCTTCCTTGAAGATATGGCAAGAAGAGAATATATGGTCCCCGCTTTCAGAACACACATCACAAAGTACACATACATTTGTACCCTGAAATCCCCATTCCTTCATCCTGACCTTCGTTTGGATTCTCCCCATTACAATAAGCCAACATAAATATCTATTCCTAGGAATGGAAGGACCCTTCCAGATCAATCATGTCCAAGGAACCTTGTCTTTCTTTGACCTAATGGTTTCCCAAACCTTTCTGATAGAATACCGTGACATCTCAATATTATTCCATAACAACGTGCCATTAGACAAGCTGAAAATATTAGGGACAGTACCTCTAATTTTCTGAAGCTTTCTCCAATTCCAGGAGCCATATGTACTAGTATATGCCTAGAAGTCTCTATCTTTCGGCTTGTAAGCTTTGATCCAGGCCACCCAAATTGACCCGTGCAGTGCTGCATCATAATCGACCAAATTTGCCTGAAAACACAGGATGCATTCCAGGTTCCCAGATCTCTCACCCCCAGCCCCCCTTCATCTTTAGGGTAAGTAAGATGTTTCCATGCTATTTTGGCTCTCAACCTGACTCCATCCCCAACCGGCCATAGAAAGTTACTACAGATAAGCTCAACTTCTCTTAAAACAGTCTTAGGAAGGAGAAATACACTCATCCAGTACTGAGTCAGACTATAAAGGACTGATCCAACCAATTCAGCTTTGCTAGCATAAGTTAGGGATTTTGCCTTCCAGCCTTGAACCCTAGCTGCGATCTTATCTATCAGAGACTTACAGGCTGCCACAAATAGCTTTCCTGCAACCAAAGGTACTCCCAAGTATCTAACTGGGAATTTGCCTAAGGAGTAACCATAGCGACTTGCCATTGCAGCCATATCTACAGTCTTTAGACCCTATACTCTGCATACTGTAGTTAGAACCATCTGAGAAGATCAAAAGGTCATCCGCAAAACATAGGTGAGTTAATCCTACTTTCTTCCACATAGGGTGATACGGGAAGAATACTTTTTTCAACGGTTTTATCAAGTAAACATGTAAACACTTCCATGGCCACTGTGAAGAGATAGGGGGACAGGGGATCTCCATGCCTTAGTCCCCTGTTTAGCCTCAAAATAACCAACAATCCCTCCATTGAAGGAAACATTAAGCATAGGATGCTCAAAACACATTTGAATGCACTCAACAAATCTGACAGGAAATCCCATTGGTCTAAGAACCTTACCAAATAATTGCCAATTGATTGAGCCAAAGGCTTTCATTAGATCGATTTTTAGAGCTGATCTAGTCGAGATGTTTTTCCTGGCATACTTATGCCCCAGCTCATGTGCTAAGAGGATGTTCTCCCCAATCACCATCGCTTTCACAAATGCAGTTTGGTTCTTACTAATTAGGCTAGGAAGCAATGAACTAAGTCTATTGGCAACTATTTTAGAGATACATTTATATATAATATTGCATCATGAAATAGGCCTGAAATTCTTCATCTCTTATGGGTTGGGAACCTTAGGGATTAAAGCTAAGATTGTAGTGTTGACCTCTCTTGGTATTTTAGTCTCAGTAAAATAGTGTTGAATTGCAGCAGTGATTTCCTCTCCAACCACTCCCCAAGTAGCCTAAAAGAAATGTGCATTATACCCATATGGTCCTGGACTCTTATCAGCATCCATGTTAAAAAGAACTTCTTAGATCTCATTTGAAGTAACCAAATCACATAGTCTCACTATTTGATCAGCAGAGAGAGTTCTCTTGAGAATATCATTAAAGAAACTCTCGGGAACTTCAACCACTTCACTATTTCTTCGTCTAAGCAGCCCTTGATAGAAACCAACCGCCACCTAACTCATTTCATCCACCTTAGTAACTCTTTTCCCATTTGCATCAATCAACGAAGTGATTGTGTTCTTATTTTGTCGAGTTTTCACAGAAAGATGAAAGTAACTCGAATTGGAATCCCCTGTTTTCAACCATAATTCCCTCGACTTTTGCCTCAAAAAGACTTCTTCTGCTTTCATTAAAACTGTCAATTCATTTGAGAGTTGACTTTCTTCTTCATAAACTGAAGCTGAAGGATTAACCAGAGCTTCCCGTTGGATACTTTCTAGCTGCAGTTCTTTCTATCGTACCCTTCCTCAGATATCTGAGTATTCTTCTCTATTCAGCTTTTACAACAACCCTTTA